TGCTGGCGGTTGCGATAGGCTGTGCCAAAGTTTTAGATTCTCTGAGCAGTAGTCCGAAAGTGAGAGTCACACTTCACAAGTTTGGCGTGGTAAAACACATGGAACGTTTTCTGAAATCACATCACACTTCTCTTGTAATACCGATGATGGGAACTGTACAGCAATGTGCGAGCGAGGTAAATGAAATTTCAATGTTATTGAAACAACTATTTAAAAATTCGGAATTGTTAATTAATATTTCAAGATGACTTCGATAGAATTATTCTATCTATACTACTTGTCGATATTCTGCATTATCTATTATCAAGACTGAACTTGATAGTACGTTTTTCTGATACCATACATGTATATTCGTGATAAAACTGACGAGAACTCATGAAATATTTACCAAATTACACTGTGCAATTCTCTCCACAATTGCAGGACAGATTTCGCAATGCGTTCGAGACTACGAATATCATTTCTGACGTTGTACGACACTTGCAAAGCAATAATGTCAAGTTGAAAGAAAACTGCGCCTTGGCAATATTCAAATGTGGACCGAACAAAGTTGCTAGAGACATGGTTCGACAGACGCATGGTCTAGATATATTATGCAACCTCTTACAATCCAAAGAAGTCCGTGCTAATAAGAAATTATTAGCTGCCGTCACAGGCGGTATATGGAAATGTGCCATAAGTCGAGAGAACGTGGTGAGATTCAATCAAAATGGCCTAGTGGCTTTGTTAGTGCCATTTTTAGAGGAACACGAGGATGACGAGGTGCAGGCGAATGTTGTCGGAGCACTGGCGGAATGTTGCAAAAATCCTGCTAACAGAGACGTCCTAAGAGTCAACGATGGTCTACCAAATCTGGTAGATAACGTACCTATTTTACTTTATAAAATTATTTAATTATTACTCACCCTGATGAAAGATTTCATCTATGTTAAATTAAAATAGCGATCATGTGTTCTTCTTTATCCATGATGTAGAACTATTTATCTTATCTACAACAAAAATATTAATTAATTAAGATCTCAATCGTTCAATCTGTATAGATTAAATTATTGAGTTCCACGTACGAGCCCTTATTGGAGAACATACCACTGGTGATAAAGGAATGCGCGGAAAATGAACAATGTATGGACATCATTAACGATCCAGAGCACACCAACGATGGTGTTCGATTAGTCTGGTCGTTGCTGAAACATCCCAGCGACGTGATCAAAAGGAACTCGTGCCTGGCGTTAGTGCCTTGTATCAAGCACGCCAAAGATTCCCCGGAAATGGTTCGGGCATTCGTAGGTGGTTTGGAGCTCACAGTTAGTCTTCTTGAAAGTACAAACACCGAAGTACTGAGCGCGGTATGCGCCACTATTGCTGAAATCGCCACGGATCCGGAAAACTTGGGTATTCTCAGCGATCTCGGCGTGGTGGAGAAATTGGCGAATCTTGTGATCACGGTGATTTTTGAAATATTTTTCTTTCTTTCTTCTTGAAGAATCTCTTCGTATATTCTTTTAGATTCCTACGGAATTCTTTCGGAAGAGCAGTCTTTCTATTTCTAAGATATTTCCAAGTTAGTTCTAACCCATTGAACGGGTTACGTTTTGCTTCTTTCTAGGAAGATGAAGATTTGCGTGCAAATTTGACCTTAGCGATAGCTCATTGCTGCGAATGGGGTGAGAATAGCAATAAATTTGGTCAATTGAACGCGGTGGCACCATTAATTAATTACATGACTAGCAAAAACAAAGCTGTTCTTAGGGGAGTTTGCATAGCGGCGTATCATTTAAGTAAAGAACCTATGAACTGCATTACAATGCATACTGCCGGTGTTATAAAGGTATGATAATATGTTTTCGTTTAAACAATATTTCAGATCACACCATGTTTTGACAATAATACAGTTTTCATCGAAATTCTTCAACGAATGTGTACATAATTTTCATTTTAGATAATTTAGAGTTATTCATTTTACAATTTCTAAGTGCTCTGCAATTGTTAATTAATATATATTTGTATTAAAAATTTCCAGCATGCATTACGTTTGGTGGGATCAGATGACCCCGAGGTGCAAATTGCAGCAGCATGCACTATTAGAAATATTAGAAAGCTCGCACTCACGGCAGAAAAATTACACTTTAAAGAAATGTACGTATTTTCGTTAATTCAACTGCTTAGTATTAATTTTATCTATGTTAAATTGCAGAAGCACGTTGGAAGAAACAGATTATCATTTGTAACATATCGGACACTGTACGAAAACCAAATGCTTATTTGAAGAATATTAAATAAAACACAATATTTTTATTGAAATCACCTAAAACATACATATTTAAGATTTCGACCAATATAAAGATCTCTATACTTAAATATTGTTTGTGCTTCAATAACTGAATGATCTAGCTGAAGAACGATTTAGGACTTCTCGTCAACGTAAAAGAATTTGTTGCTCTCTATTTTTAAATACTTTATTGTTCAATAAAACAATTTGTTCGTCTTTTCATTTACTGACAAGAAATCCTAGCCGGTTACCACGTTCTAACAAGACTATTATTTTTAAACCATCGAATATTTTGATTCTCGATCGCTGACCTACGAGACTATTTTGATTGTCTCTCCAAGTAATGGTTGGTATCAATCCTCTGATCAACGCCCGCTTTTTCATCGTATAGAAAGAGAGTTGACTGAATTAACTGTTCAATATTCAAAAATGATTAGCTATTATCGGCTAGCGAATTCGTATAAAACAGGCTCGTAGGCAGAGAAATAAGCTTCTTTGTTTAGCCTTCTCGTTAATCGAGTACATAGAAAAGGGAGGGAGGATATTGATAAAACTTTGTACCCACTATTGATGTATTGCTACAAATAAAATTATCCTCTCTAATAATAAACCATATTCAAATATACATTGTACGGCCACAAGTCTATTCAAGCTGGAATATCGGTGCAATAGAAACAAAGTCCGAAAAGGAGTATAATTTAGTAAAATGAAGATGATCACATCAAGATTACAATCCAGAGGAAATTCACGGATAATACTTCAGATATAACCACAATTGTCGGCGGGTTACATTTCGGAATCTTTCTCTCTCGAGGATGGATTAGAAGAAAATCTTATTTTAGAAGCTGATCATCTTCACTGATACATCTAGGAATGGGTGCGGACCAACATTCATTAATTCAGGACTTTGCATCTTCCTGAATGTGATACTAGATGAAGAAGCACGAAACTCTTCTAAAGACAAATTAAAAGGAGTCTCATGAAGAAATCCAACGTCTCCACTAGTACATCCAGGAATAATTATCATAGAGTATATATATATAACTGGTCAGCCGCAAAATGCATTCCTCACTGTTATTTATAGCATTAAAAGCATTATTATAGCTTGAATATGAAATATTATAAATGTTCAAGCGGAATTTTATTGCTACAAATATTCTTAAAATTTATATAGAAGCTTATCTTTATATTTGTGCAAAATTAATATCTAATTTATCGCTTTAAACATTTTGCGCTTAACTGGAATTCATTAATTTCTGATATTCATACACCACACGTATATATCTTCAGTCAAGTTCTTATCATTTATCAATATCTATACATATTATCTAATCTAACCTTCGTTTACAAAATTATAAATCACGCAATTTGTGTACTTTCTACAGAGGCTGTTTTTTTTTCTAGCGATTTTACAGATCATTATACATTTATTCTCAATAAAAATATCCACCTCCATTATTATAATCATAATATCATATAGTATAAAAAAATATTTTTATATAGATCACTCAGATAGTGCTTACGAGTGTTCAAAAATTATTAATATCTAATCACACATGATACAGTGGTACTAGTGCTACTAATTTACATGTTATTGTATTTGTCATAAATTTCTGTATTTTTATTTTTCTGTATTTATAAGGGATATAGTATATTAGGAAACAGAATCTTGAATGATTGTATTTTTATACATATTTGTATATATAAAGCAATATTTATTCAAGATTTTATTTCTTAATGTACTGTATCCCTTATAAAGTACAAAAACTTATAACAAGTATAATAATATATGTAATTGAATTTTACAAATATTTATAGCAGCATCTAAATAATAGGCACAATTGATTATAAAATTCACAATGCTATAAACATTATATATAGGAAATTAAGACTGTCAAATATATTTTAGTTCCTTTTTTATTAAGAATGGATGAGAAGGAAAAACAGTAAAATTTTTTAAGGCATGTTTTTCACAACTTGACCTCCAAGGACTTAAAATTGTGAGTATATTAATCTTGTTTTTCTGTCAGCAAAGCATTTGCCGCCACTTTAACTGCTGAAATAAAAAATATTAAATGAAATATGATGGGCAATTATATATGTTATATTTAACTGTAATGAATATACCAGCATCTTGAGCAGAAGATATTAACTCATCAACTTTATGATGATATCTTAAAAAGTTTGGTCTAATAAGACAATGATACAATACTAGGGAGCCATTACGTTCAATAGGTGCCATTAGCCATATGTAAAAGAGACACTGTAAAAACATAATAAACCTATGATTTGCATTTCATATATATAATAAATATAATTAAAATACGATAAACTACCTTGAAAAGCCAGTAGACAGGGAACCAGCATAAAATGTGATCTGAGAAAAATTCAACAATTGTAAAAACTGCAAAAACAACCCAATAGGTCAACCACTTTGTATCATCTTCTTTCTTTGGACTTTCCAAGGCTTTCATAGAACAGTACGCAGGATATAAAAATCCAAAGACATTACAAACTAATTGCTGACCAATACCAAATACTAAGTATAATGCTGAAAATCCAACAATACCTGAAAAATTTAGAGAAAAATTATGGCAAAATTCAGTGAAATTAATTACTGCAAGCAACAAGTTTGTGATAATACAGCAAATCTTCGTATATTATATAAATGCAAAAAAAATTAAAATATTCTCCACGTTCATTACGTCTATGAATATTCAATTGTCATCGAATGCTCTTGCAGAATTTCATCTTATAAAATAACCGCATCGTTAAGAATCATTAATGCGATTACGTTGCGATATAATAAAATATGCGTGCAGTTTAAGAACATTTTACTATATTGGCAAATAAAAATTTATATTAAGTTCTCGTTACGTAAAGCGATAATTAACTGGTTAATTAAGCAAGACAATAGCGTCTCAAAAAATTCACAAAGTATATATGTAATTCTAACGTTCATACTTAAAAAAACGTAAAGTCGATCGACTCCGGTCTTCTTCTCAACTTTGCCCAGATATTTCGCCCACAATTTATTTTCATCGTGTAACGCTTTCTCCAAAGATTGTTTAATAGCTCCTATTCTCGCCATTTCGTTCGAAATTTCTATACAAATTTACAAACGACACTCTTACAACGAATTTGCAGCCTCACTACTAACTTTACGTACATGCGAATCGATATCATAGATAAACGGTTATATAGAAAGGAACGTATGTGTCATACGTGCGACATCTATTGATACAGTGGGAGAACTATTAAAATAGGAAAAAATTTCAATATATAAAACATGTTGCAAATTATTTGTTAATTTGTTATATAGTACAAAGATATTAAACATGAAATAATGAATAAATCATGAATATGGTTTATTCGAATGTAAATAAGTCAATAATGAATAATTATCTCGGAAAAGAAATATATTTCATCAACAAAGTTACAAATTTACCATATTATCATTTATCATGAAATTCTTATAGTTAAAATAAAATTTGTTTCTTCAAATCAGTTGTTCAATAAAATAATGATAAAAATTATACAGAACAAATAAAAAATTATGTCATGCCAAAATGGAAAGGTAAACATGTACAATTAGCAATATTTTTGTTTTTATTATGAAGTGTTTTTATCTCACTTAAAACACAGTTACACGTCTTTCGAGCATTTTAACGTTATTATATATTGTAGATCGCTTATTGTTAGTGGGCGTACAGTTTGATTAAATGTTTATCACATTTACAAGTTGCTTTTCTTATTGTTACGTTTTTTTTTTTTCTTTTCTTTTTTTTCCTATAAAAATACGTTCCATCGCGCGTTATAAATGTAGATCAATTCAATATTCGACGGACATATGTACGTAAGTATGCGAGGATAATAAAAATTAATACTTCAGACTTATGTTCGTCAACACTTTCGCGATGCCGTATACGAAAGGAGTAGGAACATTTTTAACAAATTATTGTTTGGCACCACAGCTATGTCGCTGTACGTTCCCTTGTTCAGTAAGTTGCTTGTTGCTTTGTGAAATACGGTATATAGAGTGCATGTAAATAGAGTACATGAAGAAGTGCTGATTCATACCTTGACCACCGCGTGCAATGTGTTTCCTGCAAATCACTGCTTGCACAACATCCAATTAATGTCAGTGCGAATGCTCTCAGTGTGTTTCGCGTTATGCATCTGAAGTGTCTTTCAAATTAATTTAGATTGCGGTAATGAAAAAGTTACAACGTTTCAATGATAAACGTATTCAAAAGATACAAAAAAATTCAATTTTTAGTTTTAGTAATTATATAATTCGTTCTGTTGAATATAAATGTATAACTTAAGAGATACTTATTTATGCAATTTTTTCACTATCATCTTATTACTCATTTTTTCTCTGTAGATAGATCACAATTTTCCTCATGAGATGCAATGAAATGATAGTTCACCTTGTAAGATATACATATATTGTTTTTCGCTTAAAACGAAACGTATCTATAATTATTATCCATCACATTTGAAACATGCCTATAATTACTACTTAATATTTTGATTTCAATTATCATAGTCCTCATTATACCGTTTGAAAGGTATTTCTTGATATCATTGTCAAAAGTATTAAAAATTCAATGAAATTTTGACCTTCATTCAGTCTGTATTTTGATAATTTTTATTTTTTTTATTTTTTTTAGATATTTTTGCTATCATATTTGATCATACAATAATATTTTTCTCCAACTTCAATTATCATTGCAACGCAAGAATGCAACTGCTCTCTAATTTCATTATGATAAATTATTATGTACAATTGATGCTAATTTCTTCATGTTTGCAACTGTTACGGCAATTTACATATACTTTCTCAGTAATTCTGAATAATCAAGGTTTGAATCGAGCACCAAATGATCGAAACCTCTTTACTTTTGACACGAGATTTTAAATGCAGTGGCGTTTGATCGTGCAAGAAGTATTTATAATACAGCTTTATTCAACGAAGAATGCATTATATTACATGGACTTGTAAATTTACACATTCCGTTTGATTATCGTATTGTACAGAAGCGACGTTTATTCTCTTTTGCAAAATAACACTTAAGCTATATATCAG